CCCCAAAACCCCAAAACCCCAAAACCCCAAAACCCCAAAACCCCAATATTTTAAAGAAATATTGAATATAAATTAAAATTTGAATTATTTTGCCCAAAATGAGCCGCTTTGAGTAAGTAAAATCGGTAGTAATTCCAAGCGAAAATTCTTTACAAGCCGCATGGAATCATCAAATCCAATAGAGATTCCTCTGACTAGTAACTATAGAAAATTTGCATCTAAAATGAAAGCAATAGATGATAACTCTGATAGTGATGATGGCCTCAAAGATTCTAGAAAGAAGGGCTTTGAAGACAAAATTACTAGAATTAGGCGCAAATAAGGGAAATATAGATGACGTAAGTCGTGTTAGGGGTGAGAAGTTATATTTTATAGCTCTCAGGGAGTGACCTGGCTCCTTCAATAGATCTCTCAGTCAAGGATGCTAGCAATAAAGGGCCTGAAGAGTTTAAGATTGGGAATGATATCTCTGATTCTTATGAAAAATTCAGCAGTGATGGGGATAAGAAGAGTCCTAAGAAAGAAATTAAAAAGACAGACATTGAATCAGACATTGAAGTTTCCTCAGATAGTGACTCTGAGCCAAATGAGTTTGAAAAACAAGAAAAGGAATATCAAAAATTACTCAACCAGAAAGCCTCAGATAGTGAAGATGAAGATAAACCACAACCAGAGCCTAAGCAAGCTGAGCATAAAGGAATCCAGGAGATTAAGATCGGCCAAGAAGAACCTGATGACGAATACGATAACTTCAGTGAAGATGCTGAAGAAGAACCACCTAAGGAAAAGAAACTTAAGAAGCTCTCTGAGCAAAGGAAGAAAGAGAAAAAGAAGAATACCCAGAATCCCAAAGAAAAAGATGAGTCAATCCAAAAGTCCCATGCCGGAATCCAAGAGTTCAAAATTGGTGATAAGAGTGCTGATCAGGTAGATAATTTCTCAGATGACCAAGAAGAAATAGAGTCTATAAAAGAAGAGACAAAGGTAAGTTATCCTAACTCCAAGTTGACTTCTGTAGCAACATGAGACAAAAGAGTTCAAGATCGGAGAGGAAATTGAAGTCGAAAGTGATTATGAAAAGTTTAGTGATGATTCTGACAAAGAAACTAGCAATAAAAAGAAAATTGAAAAGAAGAAGAAAGAGTCCCCAATAGCTCAAGTAGGGATTCTAATAATTCTTTAGGAAAATAAGATAGAAGAATTTAAGATTGGAGATACTCAACTTCCAAGTGATTATGATGGATTCTCAGATGATGACAATGATAAAAAGGAAAAGACTAAGCCAAAATCGCCTATGAAGAAGTTGGCTGAGAAATCTAAAAGTCCAGATCCAAAGCCTAAGAAGAAAGTTGTTAAAAAGATTATTAAGAAAGGAACTAAGAAGAGCAGAGGAAGTTCTAAAAATTCTTCTGAATCTCCTTCAATAAGAAAAGGCTCATCAATAACATCTAACAAATCAAAAATTGTAAAAACTGGTATGAGTTCTATTAATAGTGTAGTGAAAAAGAAGGCAAAGGCGTCGAATTCCAATACTAGAAAAAGTATCTTACCTTATAAACTGTTGTAGAAGATCCTGCTCCGAAGAAATATCCTAAACTGAACCAAGACTTAATGGCAGTTTCAACTCCAAATGAGTTCAAAATTAATGATCAAAAATCAAACGTCTCAGGAGGTTCCTTAGATGAGATCTCTGAAGAGATTGGTTCAAAGTAACAATGTTATCACTATTCTAGATCATCTGAGAAATCCCAAGTGCCTGCTTCAAAATATTTGAAGAAGAAGGAGAAACCGGCAGCAGATCCTAATATCCAGGAATTTCAAATTAATGACAACCTTAGTGAAGATACATTCATTAAACTTGAAGATGAAGAGGACGATACCATCAGAAGTAGTATCTACGAATCCATTGAAAAATCTACTAGATTAAAAGAGATGGCCGAGAAGAAATTCGGTGCGAAAGATAGGCCTAAACCAAGCGACACAGAAAGCTCTCTTCCAGTTATTAAAGAGAAAACTAGAGATATAGGCAGGCCGCCCAAGAAACTTGAAAAATCTGTTACTGAGAAAGCTCAATATGTTAAAGAAGTAAATCAGAGCGAGGTTAGTGAGAAGCCCAGGAATTTCCAGGAATTCAAGATAAATGATGCTGACTCTAAATTTGGCTACGAAGGATTCTCAGATAGTAATTTCTTGTATAATCAATTTAGATCCCAGCTCAACCCCAATGAGCCAGATTGATAAGAATGAGAAAGAAATTTTGAATAATTTGCCCAAAGCTCCTGTCAAGATACAGGATAAAAAGACCCATGCCAAGATCAGAGCGAAGAATCTTCAGAATAAAAAGAAGAAGGAAGATAATATTGGTCCCACTGAGTTCAAAATTTCTGATGATGTTGATCCAGATCCGACAGAAGGATTTGAGTCTGTTGAAGGTGAGAATGATCAAGAGAAAAAGAAAAAGAAGTTAGACCACAAGAAAGCTAAAGAAACATTCAAATCGAAAGTCAAGGATTATGACCTCAATCAACATAAAAAGAGTGAATTTGGAGACTCAGTTGCAAGGGATGGTAGATCTGAGAGAATCAACCCCAAAGAGTTTGTCATTGGAGATTCTGGAAGTCAAGCTGTTGATGATGGCTTTGCTGAGAAAGAAAAACCATCTTACGCAGACCAGTCAGAGGATAATAGAGAGAAATCAGTTGCATTACAGTCATTCACAGAGCCTATTGAGGACGAAAAGAGTTCAGTTATATCTGCAGTTGCTAGAACTCACACTACAGAAGCCATAAACCCAAATGAGTTTAAGATTAATGATGATATATCAAGGTTTGATGAGAAAGATTTCTCTAATAATTCTCAGTCAAACTATGCTCAAGGAATAAACAAGAACCTCAAGAGGCAAAAAGTGATGGAGAAAAGGTTTGAGAAGGATCATGACACTAAGCTCCAGAAGGATCTGGATATCCATAGTGAGCAATCTGTTCGCCTTGGAGAGAACGGTAGGAAACGCCCTAAAACTGCATTTAAAGATACCACAAAGAAAGGCTCTGCCCCATTTGTTGCCTTTAAACAAGAACCGGTGACTATGGAGAAAGAAGTAGAAATAGCTAGAAAGAAGCTCTTCAGAAAACTAAAGGGTGATAAGATGAAGAAAAAGAAGGTAATTAGCCAGGCTGTAAAGAAGCATGTTAAGAAGGCTCCTGCCCAAAGAGATGGCAGGCCTAAAACTGCCAAGGCAGGTCCTAAGGAAGTGAAAATACAAGATAACAACGAGAATGATTACGATGAGTTCTTAAATGGTATTTCTTTCTAACTCTTTAGGTCCTAGAAAATCTAAAGTGAAGCAAACTAAGACTGACGATAAGTTTAAGAAGAAGGAACAGGGCTGGATCGGAATTGGAATTGGAGGAGGCAGATTTGGAGAAGAAGAACTCAGAAGAGATATCCTCAAGAAAAGAGAAGCAAGGAGTATCTTCAATATGCCTCCAGAGAAGCCAACCGAAGAAGAGTAATATTATGATTTACTGATTTATAGGTATGATAGCGATGATGTAGTCTATGATATGGGATAAGACAAAAGTTATTTCAATTTAAACAAAGAATATTGGGGTTTTGGGGTTTTGGGGTTTTGGGGTTTTGGGG